GTTGGAGTTTGTTCCGCATACGTTTGTTGCCTGCCCACACCCTAACTGCAACAAGAAGTACAAGCACATCAATGGTCTGAAGTACCACAAAGCCCGTGCCCAAAATGATATTGACATTAAGTTGGACTTAGATGGAGACAGTGAATACGGAGAGGATTCAACTCTCCACCCTGAACCAGGGAACTGTAATGGAGCCTCTATCTCTCAGAAAGGATCCTTGTCTCCAGCACGTTCAGTTACTCCAAAAGGCAGGAACTTTGATGCTCAAAGTCCTTCCCATCTCCTGGCAAGTTTGGTTCAAAGCAGAGTTAAAAAGAAAAATGCTGAGACAGATCCAGAAACGGGAGGTACACCAATGGACGGGTGTGAGGATGGGCCATGCCTCACTGATGAGGCCAGTAACGATGGTTTAGATGATAAGAGAGGATCAGACAAGTCCAAAAAGGTAGCACTGGCACAAAGGCTGATAAAATGCCAGAAAAAACATGAAGTCTCCACGGCCCATTGCGCCTGGCTCTACTGCATCCCAGCAAATGTACTCTTTTCCTCCTGGAAAACCCAAATTCTTCCCCAGGGCTTACCCCAATGATACAAGGTATCCCTAAGAGTCCGCAAAGAAAGGCACACAGCCTAAACCCCCTGCCATTGGAGATCCTGCCTCAGGTAGTTCCAAAGACAAGAAGAAGAAAGACAAGAAGAAAAAAGATAGTGGAAAGGAGGCTGACAGCCCAAGCCTCCGGGAAAGGGAGGAAAACTAGAGGAAGGAAAGCTTCCATACTCTGAACCTTTCTGATCAAGAAACAAGGGGGAAGGAATCCTCAATGGCTCCTCAGATCCTCATCAGAGTCGCTTGCCAGTATCAAGGCTGAGGCTGACAAGATTACAGCTTTTCTGACAATGCCCCTAGCCCATCCATTGGTGTAGCCAGTCGAATAGATGGCAGTGGGATGCCGCAGCCTCTAACGCCACTTCATGTGGTGAACCAGAATGGTGCTGACAATTCATCAGTCAAAACTAATAGCCCAGCATATTCAGACATTTCAGATGCTGGTGAGGATGGTGAAGGGAAACTAGAAGTGTTCAAAGTCAGGACAGAGGACCAAGCCATCAGGGAAAGTGTCAAAAAAGCACTCTTTCCAAACCAGACACCCAACAAAGAGTCCCCGTACTATGCCGGCTATGATGCGTATTACTCACCCAATTACGTCAACCCCAGTCCCAGCGGGCCCAATCAAGGCACGCCAGTGGCTGAAGGTCAGGTTAAGATCAAAAGGGATGATGACCAAGACCAAGTTGAGGAGAAAGGCAAAGTGGAGGTTCATGAAGACCGCAAACCTGACAGCAGTGCTCCTGGCCAGCAGGCAGCAACAGCAGCAGCAGCAGCACAGCAGCAGCAGCAGCAGCAGCAACAGCAACAGCAACAGCAGCAACAGCAACAGCAACAGCAGCAACAGCAACCCTCAGTCATCCAACAGCGATCCAACATGTACATGCAACCTCTTTACTACAACCAGTATGCTTATGTCCCCCCATATGCATACCATCCCGATCAAGCCTACCATAACCACTTGATGAACACCAACCCAGCCTACCGGCAACAGTATGAGGAGCGGCAGCGACAGATGGCTGAACAGCATCGTGCTGCTGAGAAAAAGTCAGATGTAGCCATAAAAGAACGAGAAGCCTCCATGAAGGAGGAGTGGAAACAAAAAAGCCCAATGCCACCAAGCCTCTCCAAAGCCCCAAGTCAGTCAGACCTCGGAAAAACGCCACAGCCCCCAGGAAAATCAAGGGACTCGCCCTCTGAACCCTCTTCGAAAACTATTGGAAGCATAAAAGGGGAGGACCAGAAGTCCCAGCAAGCTGAGGGGCTAAAGATGAAGCTGACTGAAGGGGGCCACCATGTAAAGGAAGACTCCAAGCAAACACTGGAGTCCAGAGGTCAAGCAGGGATGGAGCAGGCCATATGGTACAGACAGGTAAACACCAATGTAGTATAACAGTGTGCTTGTGAATCTGTTGTGAGAATGTTTTTGAGGAATTTCAATATAAAGATGTGATTTATGCTGACTTGGACCTTCTTTCCCACCCTCAGCAGTATCCCGAGAGCCAGAAGCCCCAAGCAGAAGACGAACACCAGCAACAACAACCTCGATGGAAAGACGAAAGGGACAGAGAACGGGAACGTGATCGTAAATTAAAAGACGATAGGCCCAGGCCCAAGGACAATCAAAGTGGGCCCAAGGAGGACGGCAAAGAGGGTTGCGATCCCAGAATCACTTCTGAGGACCACCGGGCTATGAGCAAAGACTCTCGTTCCAATCCCCACATGCAGTTTTCATCACCACTAGCGCAGCACCAAGGCTACATGCCCTACATGCATGGTTACCCCTATGGACAAGGCTATGACCCCAACCACCCTGGATACAGGGGCATGCCCTCAGTCATGATGCAGAATTACCCAGGTATGACATTAGATTGACTCTAAATACATTTCAATTTTAGAGGTTTTTAATACGTTCCTAGTGAAAAATAATATGCAGTATGAAAAATGATTGTCTTACATCCTTTTTAAATGTGTTTGAAATGGTGACATTCACAAGCTAAAGTCATCCATTTGTAATATTCTTTTTACCGGCGAGTTTAATCGTTGTTGATTAGTGGTTCCCATGGTTTCTTTTGGTCAAATACTTGCAAGATTAACCTGAGCACTGATTTAGAATGGTGATTAAGCTGCTGGCCTTACCTACATTTTAAAATCTGCACTGTGGCTTTTATGTTAGATGAAAAGGCAGCCTAGTCAACATGGCTTGAATAATTTGTCTCTTGCTTGCTTGCTTTTAAAATTCAGTGGCTGTAGGTATTTGTTAGGGCAGATTTATATTGTCTATCAAAACTGTATGCACAAGTCTCAGCGGGATCTCCAAGTGTTTTTGTGGTGATTTCAGTCACAACTGGAGGCATTTTCTGCATAAAAGGTCTTATGTAATTTGCAGCAATTTTTGTGCATTGTAGAGCAGCAAAATGATTGTGAGTATTTGGCGGAGCTTGTTGGGGGCAAAACACAGCACAGGAAGTTAAACAGGTCAAGTCAATCAAGAATTGATTTTGTTTGACCTACGTTCAGTTAGTCTGAATAGAATGATTATATGTGGGAAATTGCATTTAGTGGGAAAAATTGCAGCCCCCCCCCCCCCCATAAATATTGAAGGTGTTTGCAAAATTGCATGCTCTTACAAATTCTACTAGGAGTAGTCGAATTTTGTGTTAATCCAAAAATTTCCCAGAGGATCTGCAATGTGTAGCCTAAAGAATATATTCAGCATGTATAGTAGCATGCCTGGTAATTCACCAACAGACAAAGCCACTGTATTATTAACACTGTACATACAACATCCATGTGGACACAGTGCTCAAGGCACTTTCCTTTGTAGATGAAATGAAAACACCACATTCTGCAGTTGGGGCCAATCTGGTCAACCACATTGCAATATTTATATGTTTTCATGTTTAGGATCAAAATGATCCAATGTAGAGACAATGTGCGGGTATATATGCCTGTCAAGTGAATGATGTGAGTCAAAATGGACTGGTTGGTGACCTAAAATCACGTTGATTATTATGTTTGATTGATGTGAACATTAATTAAGAATAATCAATCATTAATTGTTGCATTTTGTGTTTGTACAAACCTAAATTTGAACCATCAATTTTCTTCATCACTCTCAGGTTCTTACCTACCCGGAGGTTATCCGTTTTCTCCATATGGTAGTAAAATAGCCGGAGGTGAGGAAGGCAACGACAAATCTCGTGCTAGCCCCACTGTCACCAAAACGGCAACAGACTCCAAAGCCTTGGATATCCTGCATCAGCACGCCAGCCAATACAAGAGCAAATCCCCCACAGTAGGTGACAAGCCGCCCCACGACAGGGAGAGGGAGCAGGACAGAGGAGCTGCTGGAGACAGAGAACGGGAAAGGGAGCGTGAGAGGGAAAGAGAAAGAGACGTGGACCGACCGCGCTCCTCCCCCTCCCAGCGTATCATGCCCTCTCACCACCACCTAGGATACCCCCTGCTCTCAGGGCAATATGACCTGTCCTACGCCACAGGTCAGTCAGTCCCATCTCAACACTAAATGTTATACTATTCTTGTTTTGTTACATATTGAACAAAATACCTTACTGCCATTTACTTAAATAAATTTCGGCCATCAGTCCAGAATATTTAACTTCCTGTAATTAGATGCAGACTGTTAATATATGGCAGATGACCAATTCACGATCTAAATTCAGAAGTAAAATAGGGAGTATGACTGATAGTCATACATTTCCCAATTCGCCATAGGTCTCTCCTCATCAGCTATTGTTGCCAGCCAACAAGCAGCAACCCCCCCCTACTCTATCCACCACCACAGAGGTGAGAACAGTGAGATCCCCTCAGCAGCAGAGACAGGCAAAAGACTGACACTGAAACAAAACACAAGCCTACTGAGACACATAGGTAAACTGAGAGCAGTGTTTGCAAATCTGACAAATGCAGGTGGCAGACTCTTCTTCACGTAAACAAGGCACAAAGCTCTAGTTAAAAATATTTAGGCAATGAGTTATGAGTGCTGGCACAGCTGTAGAACATCCTGTTAAAATAAAGCATTGTGTTTCTTTGTCCTGGATTGATTTGATTTAAAGTGAAAAGAACACCCTGCTCTCCTTTCTCCTTATAACATTTATGTTGCAGACTCAGAGGCAGCAACCTGTAAAGAAAACAAATCCTGGCCAAACAAAACCCTCATTATTCTGGTGCAATCTAGTACAATATGCAGTGCAGCATTTAGCCCCTCAGCTCATCCATTCTAAGTGGGTCCTCTGAGGACAAGTGTTGATAATAGAGACATGGAGTGAGCTCGCCAAGACACTAATCCACTGCAGTCTGCACTGACATCTAGTGGGAACGCTTTTATATTACAATTGATAAATAAATGCACATTCAGTTGCCAGTTTATTATGGCAGCTGAAACTATTGTAGTCTTATTCAGCCGTTCTTATAGGTGATAATATCCAGTTTTTGTCAAACAGCACATTATTATTCAAATCCTTTACATTTCATGACAAGTAAAATCCCTCTGCTCAAACTTCCACTTAAGTAAAAGTACAGAAGTATTACCAGCTAAATGTACTTAAAGTATCATACGCCCTTCCAAAGCACTATATGATTATATATACAGTATTATATAATTGTATTGCTTTTATGAATGCTTTTATGTGTAGACAGCATTTTAATGTTGTAGTGTATAAAATGCATCACATTTTTCAAACTATTCACATACAGTATTTTGTATTTAAAATCTTAATCTTTAAAGTAAATGTGGTTCTCAAATGAATGTTATGAAGTTAAAAAAAAGTGCCACAATTTCCTCTGAAATTTGTTGAAGTACAATTATTAAATAACCTAAAATGGTAAATAACAAATACCTCAGAATTGTACTGTAGTGGAGCACTTGAGTACATGTTTCACCACTGCAAGTGGAAGTGTGTAAAATATATATTAACCCTTTTTCTTTACGCATCTGTGTTTTATATAAATGAATAAATAATCTGGTAATAAATAAGATGTTCCTTTTGTGTGTTTTGCAGGGAAACCTGACCGTCACACCTCAACCCTGCAAAGATTCATGTGACTGGATCACATGAGAAGAAGATCTCCCGGGTGTTACCTTTTAGACATCAGTTGAATGGTGTTTCTATCTATATTTTTATTTCTTCTGCTGAAAGGCTAGGCAGATTGTCGTTTTTTGTTTTTTTTTCTCCCCTCGTAAATGATCCCAAATTCTCCAAACCTTGGACTGTAACAGGACTGATAATAACCCAGGTTCAAAGCCATTACTCTGCCCCATCATGCAGAGGAAACACCAACCCGCTGATTATCTAGTCTTTGCACTGTCAACAAATACAATGCAAAAAGAGACTATTGGACTGCCAGAACAGCTTTTTTTGTTGTGTGTGTTTTTGTTTGTTTTTTTTCCTTTGACTGCATTGTTTTTTTGTCGCACGCAGAAAGAAATTGGCAGTGATTTTGGGGAGTTGGGTGGCTGATGGGAAAGGGGAGTCAAACTAAATTAAAGACTGACAAAAAAAAAAGTGAATCATATTGAAATGATTTCAACTCTATGTCTTTGGCTTCTCGTATGCCGTGAAACAACAGTATATCCTTAACTTGACAAATGTTCGGCTATATTTTGTGGGGAGAGGGAATATGGCAGCAGCTGCTTTCTTCAGAGACTTAAGAGCCTGAGACTGAAGTTTTTCATTTTCCATCGTCATTGTTAATTCCCATCCTCTTTGAACCCTCAGTTCTCGTTTCAGGGATGATGTCGTCATGTTTTGCGAAGGGACCGCATACACCTCAATGGAGAATAAACACTATTCATGTTTTCTTTTCTCAGTAAAATTTTAGTTCTACTCCATATCATTGTGTTCATCATTGAATGTGTCTGATGCTGGTATTAGTCCTGTTTTTTTTTTTTTTCTTTCTTTCTTTTTTGCTCTCAATGAAAGAGTCACATCTGTCTTCACGCTCACTTAAAACGGTGAAGCCACATTAGCAAGCGATGAATTCACGGGGCATTGTCATCACTTCATTAGGCCACTTGTGGGTTTTTTGTTTTGTTTTGTTTTGTTTTTTTTTTGGTGTTTTTTACTGTAAGACTGTGCTTCATTCAATCAAGTTTGATTGTTTTCTGTAAACAATGTGAAATTTCACTCAACTCATGTATTTTTCTGCTGTAATATAGACTTTTAGCCTACTTTTATGTGCATAAATGTTTATATTTATCCCAGCACGCGACTGTTTCCAAACCGTCACTGTTAAATAGCTTCCGGACTTCACAGCGTTAAACATTTTGTGCTCAGATCATTGCAGAGTCTCTCTAGATGTCTCGGTGTGCTTCTTCTTTGCCCCGGCTTTGGTTGTCTTTTTTTTTTTCTTTTTTCTTTTTTTTTTTAATTATATGATGAACTTTTTCAACACATCACAACCTTGGTGCACGTCTCCATTCATCTCAACATGCAGTGTGCGGTTAGACCGGTTCCAGACCTGTGAATCGCTGTCCACATCATGGCAACTCAAACTGACAATTCAGTCAGATTAAGAGAAAACAAAACGGTAAATCAGTCTGATATTTTTTAGGCTATTGTGCACTATAAAAAAAAAAAAAGGACAGAATTTCTCTTGGTGCTTCGCTTGCTTGTGTGACTTCACCATAACACACTTTCACCTCAGGCAGTTGTTAGCATGGTTTTCTTGCCAGCGGCTAGCTTCGGATCAGTCTGAAACTGGGCCAGTGAGTCTGATACCTCAGACACCAGTTTTCTTTGTTCAGTTGCTGCCTGTGCTGTAAGGTCAACTACTGGCACATTAAACAAAAGTGCATGAAATGAACCCAAAAATAAAAAATAAAAACCTCTTTCTGCTGTTACTATTATAGAACAAACATGAACCAATCAGATGCAGACAATGAACTAAATTCACAAGAAAGGGTGAGCCAGAGAAAAGCTTGGAGCAAAAGTTAACATGGTGAAAACAAGTGAAATGGGACCTTGATGACGCACACACGACTGAAGTGGGAAGGCTCAGAGTTGCCAGGTCAGCTGAAAAGAAGCAGCTGACCTGGCTTTAGGCTTTCCTTTGGATCTCAAACTGATGGTGCCACTCTGTAAAATTAAACCAAGTCTGGTTAACTTAAAAAAAAACTACACAAAGAGCCAAGCGTCAATATGGCCTGTTCTACCAGAGGTCCCTCTTGGCTTTGAATTACAGTTCTCTCATACCTCAGGGGTTGTAAGTGAAATTCTATCCATATGCTATTTGCATTGATTTGAGAGGGCTTCTGTTTATGGGTGTGAGAAAAGCACATTTTCTGCTCTGAGCTGTGTGTGCTGTGGTGGTCCGTTCAGAAATGACAAATTGGCCCATGATAGGGGGGGATTGTTAATATGCCATACCATGCTGTTGTGGGTTGTGAACAATCTTTACGTTCCTCTAAAAAGCATTATAATGAGAGTAGATTATTGACCATGTTGTCATTAAATTTAATTTTATTGATTTTGGTTTTACAATCACCTTTAGTGTCCCCATTGTTGTAGTTTTTTTTTGTTTTGTTTTTTTTAAATTTAACACTGTATGTGATTAAGTCCGTAAGCCACCAGTTAATCTCGTGTCTAGCACCCTCTGAAGTTGGATGTTAGCGGTTTGTTGAGACGCTACTCATGATCATGAAACTGCAGCTCTTCATTTTGAGGTTCTTGGACATTCCAAGTAAATAAGTTGTCAGTTTCTCCTTCCACAAATTTTTGCCAGATGGTTTATCTTTTGTCTTTTTGCGCATTTTAAAGAAGAATGGCTGACATGATTAAGATGAATGTGGTGGTGTTTGACTTGTACTTAATCTGTAAGGGTAATCTAGGCAGCTGTGATGTTGTCATTAAAGTCAGTGGGTTTTAGTACCAGCAGACTGCATACATATAGTTTTATCAGACAATGGTTGTGACAAGTGCATTTGTTCTCTCTCTGAGAGTAGTAATGTTATCTCAGTAGTAAGCAAAGCCCAGTGAAAATCATATATACTAAAGTGTATGAAAAGCCAGAAAAGTAATGTTTGCTATAAACATATTGGAAAGTGCTTGGCTCTTGTATTTTGCAGGACTGTATTTGTTTCATGGTGAAGAGTATATTTATTGGCCAGCAGTTGTCTCAATTGGTGCCTAGTTGAACATTCTTCTGTGAAAACACAGAGACACTTGCTCGTTTGTCCTTTCCTGACCCACCTACTGTCACACAAAACCCCCCCAAAGTACCAGGACTGGTGCTTGCAAGGATGTTTACAATGTCTTCATTTTCTTTCTGTGTGAGAAATTCAGAACTCTTCCCCCTCTCCTCCTCTCTCCCTCCCTTCAGGAGTTTGTGTAAAGTGTACATTACCATGGTTCTTTTTTATACAATACTCTGTAACTTGCCTTTGTAAATTTGGGCTGGAAAAAATAAATCTTTTTATGAGACTATCTGTCCTGGGAACTGCTCAATGGCTCCTGCTCCGTCATTGCTGTGGAGTTATACAAGTTAGACAGTAATACTGTCTTGCTGTTTGCAAATCTATATCTTGTTGAAAGATGATCAACAACTCTTCAGCATCCCGTCATGTTTGTGCAGGTGTTGTCTTCAAATTGATACTTCATTTCAAATTTTATTTTAAATAGCGATGAGTTTGCCTTTTGTAAAGTCTGACAGGTTGATTTCTGAAAACTGACCTTGAAGTTTTTATTCGATATTATTATTAAATTATTTCACACAGTATCGGAAAAGAGTCACCAGAACACAGGAAGTAGCAAAGTATTCCTTTCCTGGAGTATTATTGGTAGAAATAATAGAAATACACCTTATTACCATATGGAAACTGCACTGTGGGTTTTGGCCACAGGAGAGCAGTGTCTCTAAAGAGGCCTCAGTCAGTCCTAACTGACATACTCCAGGAGTTTAACACAATACAAATGTCACGTTATACATATACATACATATATAGCAAAGAATTAATTTGATCACCAATTAATCGCTGAAAACTACCCCCAACTCCTGGATTTTTTGTGTTTTTCAATTAGGGAGAAGGAGTAGGTGCAATTTGTTAATAATTTATTGATTGAGTGATTTTATTAATTTATTTTTGGAGAAAAAAACAGTGTCAGACAAATTATTATTCAAAGCTGAGTGATGTGTTATGTTATATCCTGAAACACGTTTGAGGCGACCTTTAAATCAATAATCCTGCAAAAATGCCTCATATCTGCTGGCACAAGCTTCTCATATGTTTACTTTCACTTTCACTGTTTATTTTAAATTGAATACTGTATCTTTCAGTTTTGGACTTTTGGTCAGTCAAACTAAACAACTTGAAGATTACGTTAGGCACTGGAAAATAAGATGTCACTAATTTCCGACCGTATTCAGACAGTAATAGATTGAAAAATGAAATGATCATTAGCTGCAGCCCTAGCTGTGTGTTTGTACAGCTGTCAGCAGTTCATCAGTTAACGAACACACACTGTTAAGACTTTATCTGTGTCTGCTGTGGCATTCACTTCTATCAGGAAGTTAGGGTATTTTTAACTGGCCCTAATGCTCCTGAACTGAGAGTACGCTCTGTGCATTAGCATAATGCAACATCAGTGACAGGGAGTGATTACGCTGGGGATGATTTTGTTGAGTGTAAATGTGAAATCTGATTATCCTCTCTGCTCTCAGCTCTGCAGAGGCAGGAGGGCCGGGGAGGGAGGGAGATAGAGAGAGAGAGAGAGGGAGAGAGAGGACGAGGTTGGCTGCAGGATAGACTCATAAGGAAGGAGGGGTTAAGATAGCAATGTGCTGAGCCAGTGGCTTTTCCACAGAGCAGCTGGCTGGCATCAGGACAGGACAGGCCGCTCACAGGAAGGATACCTTGAGGACGGCTCTCCTCCGCTCGCTGTAGGACACTAAGGTTGCCTTCCAGGAGGTGTTCATGGGATGCACTATCTACGCAGCCAGCCCTAAGGCCCTGCCCGCCGACGAGGCCCCAGGCCAGGACAGATACTACCAGCTCCCCCACTACCGCCAGCCTCATGGTAACTGCAGTCAGAGGATAGCAGCCAGCAGAGCCAGGTCAGTCAACAGCACACAGCAGGAACAATGGAAGGTGCTGAATATTTGGTGTGCTCGTCATGAGTTACGCTGACAAGGTGAATCCAGGTAAAAGCAATTGATGCTCAGTTAGCGGCCAATCACAGAGCAGGAGACGCAAAAAATGTGAGTTAGATGTGTCAGAGAAGGATGTTGAAACTGGGCCAAATGAGATGTGGATTGTGCAAACTTAATACCTCATATCAGGAAGACGTGCCTCATGTTTTTTTTTTTTTTACATTCATTGAAAAATGTAAATTTTTTAAAAATGCAAAAAAAAATCTAATTTAAAACTAAGAGGAAGCAGGGAGATAGTCACAATGAAGTCATAAATACGGATCTTTTAAAATATATATTATTATATACAGTAGCAGTAAGAACATCCAGTTTAAGCGATTGAAGTGTTTTTGCTCCTTGGTATCAAATGGGTAGAAACATGGAGGGCAGGTTAAGATAAACATGTCAGCATTGCAGATTGACAGACATCACGACGTTGAGCCCAGCATCGTCATGTCGCTACACATCGCAAAACCCTGTTTCCCAGACTTAAATAGTTATGGCACCTGCAGTTTGGACTCAGTGATTCAGCTCTGATTGGATGTGATTCAAATGCTGCTAACTGGCATTGTGAAGCTAATATGATCCACATTTGCAGCAGTGTTTGGTTTGTGATTAAGTTACACAATTTTATTTTATACTTCATAAAGGGGGGTTACAATATTTTTCTGTCACCATGTGCAAACTGCACAAACTGGAGGACTGTGCCTCTGTGTTTTAACCTGAGAGCCTGAACTGTCCTCAACATGACTGAATGGAAAGTGGCTGAATGTTTTTAGCTGTGTACTGAGATTTCTTTATACATTATTATTTTTTCCATCATTATTTGTTTAGTCTATACTGTGTGTGATTCATTTTGTAGCTTTTGGACAGTGTTCAGTTCTTTTTTTATCTTTGGTTGAGTGCAATGTTTTTTTCTTCTACCCTTATTTAGTCTATAATGAATAATAATATAACCATCACATTTTTACCAGAGCTCAACATTATGTTTGACAGTTGCTCACTTATTATCACCAAAAACTTAAAATAATTCAGGTTTTTACATAATAATAAATAATAATAATAATAATAATAATAATAATCAACTTTATTTGTATAGCACCTTTCATACAAGAAAGGAAGCACAAAGTCCCTAACAACAAAGAAATGACATGCACCAAGTGCTTGACATGAGAAGAAAAGACATAAAATGAACATAAAAACATTGTTAAAAGAATTGATCTAAAATGAAAAACATTAAAAACATGAATGTAAAATGAGATCAAATAATGAATGAAATAATAAATCATTAAATAAGCAGACATTTAAAAGAAGTTCTGAGCAGTGTACATGAACACATTGTTACCATCAAATAACTTTCTGTGAATAACGATTATTAGACTAATCCTCCAATACTTTCCATAGATATGAACTCACTACGTTAATAAGTTCACTTTGTTTGTCATCTACTTGTCTGCCAACAACATTCATCAGCCAATACCTCACACGGAGGCAGTTATTTACATTAACATTGTTTAGTCCAGTGGTTCCCAATGTAAGGGTCAGGCCCCTCCAAAGAGTCACAAGATAAATCTGTGGGATCATGAGATGACTAATGGCACAAGAAAGAGGATAAAACAAAGTTCTGATACACAAATCTGTTTTCAGTTTTTTTAGACTTTTCTCTAATATTTGTTGTTATTGAATATTAATAACTTTTTTTCTTGGCTTCAAAAAAGATTTAAACAACAGGAGAAGTTTAGCAGGAAATGTCTCTGGTTGAACTGCTAACAACTCATGGACATCTGAAACAAACACAATAAAACACTGCTTCTTTGTACGGGGGGAAACAGGAAGGGAATCACTGGTTTAACCTTTAACAAAGTGTTGTATTTTATGAGTTTATCATGTTCTCAATGCAATAGTAACAACACCTTCCATATAAATACAGTGGAGTAAAAAGTACAATATTTCTGTCTGAAATGTAGTGTGGTAGAAAAGTAGCAGAAAAGTTTTAGTGAAAGGACACAAACCAAAAAGGTTGAGGTTGAACTGCTGGTTGAATTTTTAACAACGCATTGTATATTATAAGAGTTTTTAATGTAAAACCTTAATCTGCAAAGTCATCAGTAAAAATAGCTGTCATATAAATGCAGTGGAGTAGAGGTAGAAAGTAGCAGAGATTTTAAATACTCCAGTAAAGTATACCTATACTAACTTGAGTAAATGTACTTAGTTACTTTACACCACTACAAATACTGAAAAGTTGCCATAATAATTTTAGATGTTAGTTTGTTCTTGTTTTTACACCTGTGGACTACAAATAATTCACAAAATCCTCGACTTGAAGTATCTATGACCTGTTTAAAAAAAAAATATCACTGTAAAACAAGTTCTAGTGAGACATTTCTGTAGGAACAACCTGAATTTCACAATTAAAAGTGAAACCAGAAAGGGCCTTGGCAGTATTTTTCCTGTTGGTTTTGCAGCTGTATTTAATGAGCGCTCGTTAGGTTATTCTGGGAAACTGTGGGAAGAAAATAGCCGCCGTTTAATCCCCTGGCAGTGAGTAAACAGCCCACACTGGGCTATAGGTAAGCTCAACCCACCTCTCCAGTGTCGGACACCCTTCGGAGGCGGTTACAGCTCCGCCAGCGCGACTCTCTGCTTCAGCTTTAATGAATTCTTCGAACTGGAGCTTAATGGGGTTTTTCTTGTCAGTTCTTCGTGGATAAAGAAAGTACGATAATTTCACCGAGGTATGCTGCACAGACCTGAGGAGTTACGTGGAGCTACAAAGCGACAAAACAGCGGTCAACGTCGCGGCTGCTCGTGAGCTACAGGTAGGAGACGTTACCCGGTGACAAGCTAGCGAGAGGAAGTGCGGGCCTTCCGAGAAAGATTTCAAAATAAAAGCACTAGTCATGAATTATGGGTGTCACTGAGCAGGATAAGCATTAAAATGTTTTTTTGTTTTTTTTAATCAGTGGGTAATGGTGCTCAGTAATTGGGGGTGAACCCATTAGCCAGTTAATCAATTAGTCAACTGACTGAAAATTAAATGGCAACAATTTTCTTAACTGATTAGTCATGTTGAGTCATTTTTAAGCAAACTGCTTAACAAACATTTTCTCAGATGTGAATATTAGCTGGTTAGTTAAGTCTTTTTTTGACAGTAAACTGAATATCATTGGGTTTTACACTGTTGGTCAGACAAAACAAGACATTATCATAGATGATAAGATATCACTTTGGTCTTCAAGAATGTTTTGTGGACTTCACACATTAATCAGTTACTCAATAAAATAGTTAATTAGTAAAGACAATAATTGTTGGTCACAGTCAGCAAGAGCTGTCTAGTGAATGCATGCAAAAATTTGAATAAAAGTGAAGATAACTGCACACTAAGCTCCAATAATTTTATCATATGAGTGACATTTCAACCATACCTGATCTTTCTCAAGGCAAATTCAATTGCCTACTAGAGTCAGGCAGTCTAATATGTTCATTTTTATGCAGTTCTATTAACAAATTCAAACCAAATGTTAGTATGATATGGTATTCTTATTTAAATTCATAAAGTACTGTAGAATATCAGTCAATAACGAATTACACCAGAATAGAATTGTGTAATTTCTCTCATTAGACATTTTATTATTAGCGAGTGTGATTCAACATAAATAATTTTGGTATTGCCCCTTGTTGCGCTGTAGACTCTGCATTTATTCCAAAAGTGAATCATTTTCAACTTTTATCTTGAAAATTTGCTTGTGTTCCGACCTTAACCTGGCTTCTGTTGACAAACTTGACGTCATTTTTGCTTTTGATAATAAAAGGCATATTCAAAGTGCTATAGAGGGAGAGCATGTACTACATTTCAGGAGCCAGGTGTATATGTAGTCAAGGGTAAAGTAGTAAAACTAATGACTTTTGACAGTTGAAACACAATACTATATTTATGTCAGTCTGTAATGTTACTTAAACTAGTGATATCAGGCCTGCTATTTCCCAACAGAAGTGTTAATATGTTTTTAAAATTAATAAATGATTATGATTTGTGCCCTCATGATACAACTAAAACACTTAATCAGAAACTGGCTTTTTGCAAAACTCCTTTTCCCCTGAAATCTGGTTAAGATTTCACACTGAACAGTAGGCTAATGAATGTGCTCCATGTAGTCTTCAGTACGAAGAACATTTGGAGCCTGGTGCTGACTTAAAAACGCACATCTGTCATCAAAGGCTGTTTTGAGGTTCTTGCACAATGGGGAGGTTATTTCAGGAGGACTCAAGCAGAGTATCCCAGAGTCCAAAGGCTGTGCTTCTGTTTCATAGATTGTCTGTGTTTGTGAAAAGACCAACATCAGACTGCAGACAACTTGTAGTGTTGTCCCATAATAAGACAAAACCACTTTCAGCTTTTTAGACATATTTAACCATTGCTACTACCCACTGTAAACAAAGCGGCCCGCATTGCTTACAAAGCTGTGTACCTGCTGTCTTGACAGTCCTAAGCCATTGGCTGTTAGTGACCTTGACTGAGTTAATGAAGACTCATCTCAATTATTGTAATGTGTGATTTAGTCATATGTTTCAATGTGGATGCTCTCTGTTGAACTGACACAAGAGCCCCTGTGATCAATGAGGGGCAAAGAGGAAGAGTGCATTTAAGTGACAGTGTCAGCAGCTTGTAATGTATGTGTACATGAAGTGGGAGGCATCGCACAGCTGATATAGAACAGTGGAGCCTGAAAAATGGACTTGACATTAGATTGTGACAACAACACCAACTTAGTGGCAGAGGTTTTCCGGAAATGGGCGACCGGACGCAGAGAGAGTGCAGTGATTCTTCAGCAACAATCCCGGTGGCTAGCAACCTTAACAAGATTACAGTTTATTGGATTGGAGGATGTCTTGTGACAGCACAAAATGTTTGTCTCCAGAGACAGGGAAGGACATGGAGGAGGAGAGAGAAGGAGTGGTTGAAGCCTTTCAGTTAACTTTCATGTAGTTAGACCTCAGCAGAACCTTCGTGGGCCCCAAGAAGGTCAATATGGCCATGCTGCCCTGTCACCCCATAGGCCCTGTGGTTGGTCATGTCAGTCATGACTCCACTCTGTTCTGGCATCACAGTGGTGGAATGAATGGTTTTCCTGTGATTTCGAATGTCTACTTCCCTGGAATATATCAGCATTTTCCTGGGATTTCTCAACATAGATTAAGTTTTATTTAAAAAACAGAGCTGTGAATAATTAATTATAAGGTGACAGCTTTTAGGTGTTTCTTACATGTTTGTTAGATTATATGGTATGTTTCTAGTAGAACAAAAATTCCCCCTTTGAGCTGGAAAAAAAATACACTGCCAGCCATTAATTTATTATTTTCTATAATGTTCTACAGGAGCACCCGACCATCTTTATAGATCTGACCTGAGGTTATTTTCTCATGCAGTGGCAGGAAAGAAATATCCATCACATGCAACCGTTTTACTGTATAATTTCACAAGCACACAGGTATTTTCTCCAGGAAATGGGAGCACATTTTGGTCGACAGATCCATTTGCTCATTGACTATGAGATCTAACAGCCTCTTGCCTCAGAGAAACTTGGTTGCGTGTATAACATTCCGATCACATTGCCAAATAGGAAACAACATCTTGCACTAAACAGTTTGCTAACTAAATAATTCAGTATCAAACAGGAGTAACCTGAAAATGAGGTTATTTGTCCATTAGTACTGTGAGGGAACTCATCATTTTTGGCAGCAGTATGGCAAACCACAAAGTTAAGTTAGAGTTTCAAGTGCAAACAATAACATACTGTATGTATTAACATAGTCATATATCTGAGAGAAAATTGCAGCTTGTGGTGTAGATGAGGCAACATTCATTGTTTACTTTTTGATCAATTGTTTAATCCCAGTTCTAGGAAACCCACTCAGACTAAATAACACCCAGTTTGGATGAAACAACCTCATGGTCAAACTCAGTGACATAATGAGAATGTTTATCCCAAGGCTGTTTGTGTTGAAGACTGCATGATCAGGGCTGGTATGTGTTTCATAAGTTTTTTTTTAATATATTTTGTGAATGAGGTTAAACAGAGAGCCATACAAACTCTGTTCCCTCTGCCAGACAAGAACACAGTCTGGTGTTAAAAAATTCCCAGCTGTCAGGTAAAAGGTCACAAAGAGTTTTTTTTTCTACCTAAACAAGAAAATGTGCAGCAGCAATCTAATTTTTTTGGTTAATTGTCTGAAACCTGCACAATCAATGACATGACTCTTGAAAAATCTTCATTTATTTACATTTTGCAAGTTTACACCTGCCCCACTCTTAAATTCAATCAGGATTCTTTTTTTGACAAGAAAAGACACAATCCAAAGCTACAAAGTGAAGTATTCTTTAAGAGCACTTTAAGTTATTTTCATGCAAATTAGTTCAAGTATAGTTTTAAGGAATATCTTCATCAGTGATCTATGGAATCTTATGATAATTCTCCAACCCAACCATTTCCTTTCAAAGAGTAGTCAAGCACAACTACAAGCCTACTATATCCTTTGCACACTGTTTTCAAGTGAACTGCAGTAGTACCACGAGCCTTCATTTTACCCTTAGGTTCACATCTGGGATCAGATACCCCTCCTGAATCCCTTATCCTCAGGCTTAAGGTGAAAAGACCCCACAACACAAACATGTTCTTATCTATTACAACAGGTCGTTGTTCAGATCCCATTCACCCCTCTGTGATCACAGATAACCAGTCAGATGTAACCTCTAGCACCAGGAAGCCCCTGTTGTTTGAACAGGTCAGGAGCTGACGTAAAGCTTCTGGCCAATTAGAGATAATACATTGGAAAAACTGCATGCAGGGGCCTATTTCCATCAGCACCTGTAATTATACCAGAACAGGTGGTAACGGCTTCCCCTCTCCCAGAGGAAAATATGGCACAGGGCAGGTGTGTGTTTGTGTGTGCATTTTGAAAAGAATAGAAACATTTGATGTGAAGGTGAGGTTTAAAGCTTCCCTGTACTTGTGCTGTAATATGACAACACAACAAACATTTATAGGGTAATACCAGCTTGTTCTTTCTTATTTATCATGCAGATCAGTGTTTCCCAACCAGGGGTACGTGTACCCTAGGAGATACAGTTGCCAGGGGGCTGCTGGGAAGATGAAACATAAACTACAAGTGAGGAATAAATTACTGAAATTGTTAGCTAAAATGAAAATTGAAATAGTTATAAAGGTTGAAATAAATAGTTAAAAATATTGGATATACAGTTGACATAGTTAATGTTAGCCAACAGTAATTGATAAACATTTGAAAATTGAGCTTTATAGCTTTATAGCTTTGTAAGTAATGGATGGTAGAAATAGTTCACCAACTGTCAAAATAGACAGTTAAAAGTGCTGGATGATATAGGAAGTTAAATGTCATGGATTAACAGTTGACAGAGTTAGCTAAAACAAATGGACAAACCATTAACATTGTTAGTTAAAAGTAAAGGATAAACTTGACAGGTCAAGCACTGGATAAACAGTTGAACTAGCTAGTTAGCTAAAAGTAACAGATTAGTTGACGTAGATGAAAACAAGCAACAGTTAAACATTTGAAGTAGTTAGCTAAAAGTATTGGACAAACAATTGAAATGTAGGTAACTGAAAGTAATACACAAATTGTTAAAATAGTTTAACATAGTGTGACATTGTCTGGGTAAACAGATAAAACTGTTAGCTAAGTAATGGATTTACAAATGAAACAGCTAATAGTAAAGGTTGCTAAAACTAAACTGTTGAAATAGTTGAAATTGAAACAGTAGCTAGCTTAAAATAGCTACATAAAAGTAATTGGTAAACACTTGAAATTGTTAGCTAACAGTAATAAATAATACCACTGCCTTTCACATTGTACAAAAAACAAAAAAGGTATGATCTAGTGTGTTCACATCTGTGTTCACATCTGTTTTTCCATTGCTTTTAAGGTCCCAATATAGATGGAGATGGCAAGGCTTTTTCCCTTCGAACAGAAAACCATTTGCTGCCATTTCAAACAGTATGCAAAGCAGAATCACCTAGCTTTTAAAATGACCTGAGCCACATAATCCATCACAGCAAACATGACGCTGACAGCCCACAGATTTTCAGATGAATCATTCCTTCTCTGAGTCTGAGTTGAGTGTTTTTTGGTTATTTTTAGTGTATCATACTTTGCTCTACTCGGTGTCAATCACCACCCACAGGAAGAAATGTAAGTGTCTGCTTGAAAACATCTGAAATTACACAATTTATGGTCATATCCTTGGTTTCTACTTCTTTTGGTTTTCATAGCAGTTTGTTTCATGCAACATTTTTGTCCTGCAAAGTTTCAGTGTGAAGTGTAAAACATTTTTAAAAATATTTGAGTCAGCTCACAACAGTACATCAGGTCAGCCATCTGCACAACCTTTGAGTTGCTCTATTTCTTTGTGGACATCTGTGTGAGTGCAGACATTGACCCCATTAATACAAACACAGTTTTATTTTGCTGAATAGAGATTTTTTAATGGAGAATCAGACTTTGAATGTTGCACCACTGCTGTGTTGATTTTGAAGACAGAGTCCACTTGTTTGCCCCATAAGCTTTTTGGGAAGAGGTCTATTTGAAGCCAAACCATGAGACAAACACAAACATAATTTTTTACAAGTGTACATGAAAGTCCAGCAGAGATTGGTGCCTGCTGCTAACTTAGGGCTGTGTGTTTGTGTATTCAGGGCCAGGAACATGACAGAGCAGCAGGAGCAGAGTGAAGACACAGGCCTGCTCTCAACTCAGGACCTGGACCCCTCCAAGGACGACGACACACACGGCCACTTCAGGCAAATCTCACACACACAAACAACACACTGCTCTGCAATACTTGCTGTCTTTCCAGGCTCTTTTTGCCCTACACGCCATCTGTATCCTGTGCATGGTCATGGGTTACAGCCCTAGGAGATTTATTTTCACAGCACTTATTTTGTGCTTTTGTTTCAGCTGTTTTTGATGTTAAACAATGGCCAAATGTGCACAGAAATGCATACAAAGCAACCACAAACACAGATTTACAAAGGACATTTTTTCTTTACCCCAAAGGCCTTGGGAGAAAATATATGCGTTTGTAAAATGTGCAGTAAATTGCTGTAGTTAAACTAGTTATATAGTGTTTTTTAATCAATTTCAACATATTTTCTGTGATAGATATTCATGTGCACAATGTTTGTGTATGACTGCAGACAGAGTGCATGAATATGCTTGTGTGTTATATAAGAAGGATTCGAAGCAGGAGCAGTGTAATCCTGCGAATATGTCCTGGGATGGGATTTAGCACTGAAGCATGGTGTGTGCTGGTGTACTCAGTGAATGGGAGGGACTTGAAAGCTTTATGCAAACGTCAATCACTCAGCAAGTAGTGTGTCTGTTTTGTGCCCAACTCACCTTGACCCTCTCGCAGTATTTCAGGTTGTAAAGATTTGTTCAAGTAAGTGTTTACACTGTTTGGGTACCTTGACTAATGCTTCAAAACAGTGACTTCATTTCTACATTTGTATGAACTGTTTCTTTGAAAAAAATAAGTCTTGTCTCAAATGAGAACTCTGATCTATGAATTTAATAGTTTTATTTTAAAATCAAGAGATTATTTGAAAATTCTCCCATAATCTCTCATCATTCCTATCTCTCTCATTGTCTCATAGTGAATCTATCCACATCTCTCAGTCCCACTCTCAGTCCCAATTTCTTCTCCTCCAGTTAAATTATTGACTGGGAGTCCACTGCTACACCGGCCCACCGATGGGAGGTGTTCGCTTTCTAATTTAGGATTCAATTTAGGATTCTTTGAGCTCGTAATTAGTTTCACTATCCAGCCTCTCAGCCAAGGGCACTGAAATACATGGACGAGGCGCATGCGTATACATGAACACACACACAAACACTTGTAGCAGCCGACATTTTGCTTTGCTCATAAGGGGAATAGTCTGATCTTTAATGTCATAACTAAACCTGTGTATCAAAGTCTTCTGATCCTTGATTTTTAGGTTATTATGCCTTATTATTCCTCATGTGGAGGACTCAGACAGGTTCACTACATGTACAGTCCACCGAGCCTCCTGGCACCTGGAAAGCCAACATATTTTGTTGCTGTTGTGAAAACCTTACAAACCTCCTTTAGTGATTTTCATGTTTTTACTTCAGCTGGAAAATTTGATGGTTCCTCTTGGGCCTGTGAATCAATTTCAAACCCTTGGAATAAAGTCAAAAATAAACTTTAAGTGACACTTCGTTGAGGCTGTCCTCTTTGACAAGTGTCCATGATTTCCCCACATATTATCCCAGCATGACCGTGTTCATACCCTTTGTAGAAAGGCCTATACCGTGACGCACCGCATTCACAGCTCTCTTAACGGCACAGTGGGAATTGCCTGTAGCAGTTTTCTTTATTCACTCACCTAGATGCATCAGCAGTATTGATTAAGACCTGGATCTTGTGTAAAAGAGAGAGACAGATGGAGAGCGAGAGCGAGGACTAGAGAGCCAGTTAGTCCCCACAGAGCGTCCTGTGTTTTTAATAATCACTCTCTTCTCCTCCACCTGGGAATGCAGAGCCACTGTGGATCCTATTTATAGGCAGCAACCAGCAGGCTGGAAGATCAGCACACATGCACTATTGTTCATAACATGGTCACAAGATAATGGGATGTCTTTTCAAGGAGGGTGGTTTTAATAGGGAAAAATTATGAATTTGACCATCTACATAAAATAATCAAATGTTGGAAATGTTAAATAAGGGGTAGTTTTTGACTTTGACTAATGACCTAATTTCTGCTGTAATTTAGCTTGGTTATGGATTACTTTATGGATTCTGAATTCATTATGACTGCTTTGAAATTGTTTGGGAATTCTGACCTTTTAAGGTATAAATCTCACTATTTTTTACTTATTTAATGTACATTTTGTAAGTAAATTCTCCACAATATGATGTTCTAGTGGAAAAACAAAATGTATTAAATGTGCAACAGGAAAGTAACATAAGAAATATTTTCACTTTTAACAGCAGGGAAAAGACAAGTCTTGGATGGATACAGGATGCTAGCTGTTTTAAAGAAAAATATGTGATATAAAGCATCCAGCAGATCTGGCAGGATAGTTGGCAGCACTGTCACAGCTGCACTGCTCTGCTGTAAACAACAGCCTCATCCCAATCTGACACACACACACACACACACACACACACACACACACACACAGCCATAGCATCTGTCAACCCCCTCTGCTCCCAGACACTTTAACCCTGCTCGGGTGAATGGATGAATGACTGAAGAAATGTTCACCTGGACACAATGAAGCGTCGGGTATAGCACTGTGTACATTTCATACAGATGTTTAACACAATAACAGCAACATCTGTGCAATATATTACAATCCAGTACAACAATCATGGAAGAGATTCTACCTTGTGAAGCTTATAATGTCCTTATAATGTGTAACAGTCGTCATTCTTCACTTTGACAATAGTAATTTGACATAACAATCCAAACTTATGGTCCACTTAGTGTAATTTTCCATGGTTTTTAACCATGTCACATGAATTTGCTCAGTTGTCATGGAAATAGATCTGTTGTCATGTGAGCTCAATAGTTGCTTTCATAGCACTAATTGTGCTAAACTTAACACAAGTTAAACACAAAAGTCCTAAAAGTGCTACGGATGAAAACAGCTACTGAAGTTTCATGTCAACACATCTGTCTCCATGACACTTCAGTAAACTGTCTGCTGACAAAGACCATGTCATACGGTTGAAAGTTAGTACTGTAAGTGGACCTTAGGTTGAGATCATTTTGTCAAACCCCTGTATGTTGGACACAGTGCAGTTGTATCATTTGTGCAAAGTGTGTTTGTAAAATTAGATTAAAAACATATTTCTACCTTTGTTTTGCATTACACTGTAGCAGGAGGAGACAATCTAAGCAGTTTATTATCCTCTCTTCCTACTCTGCTCATCACTTTGGTCCGTAATAAGCACTGTTTTATTAGCACTTTCTGTTCTTTATATACTGTATATCTCACTCTCAATCTCACAATGTTTTATAAGTCTCACTCTCTCCCTCTTTGTACTTAACAGTTAAGTTATAAACTGCTGCCCTGTCACACTTTGACATAAGGCTCAGCTAGAATTTAATTTTATTGTTGGCCATCTCTTAATCTTTCAACTTTGAAAATGAATAGAATTATATTATATGCTAAGATGCTAAGCCCTGTTGCCTCAAGTCAGTTTAAAAAGACACTTGACAAAATGAAAACTAAAACAAAGCTATGAATATTATTTGATGCATGATCCAGTTTCCATTTCAATATAATATAATTTCTGATGATGATGATTTCTCACTCTTGAAGTTCAAAGTAGACTGATCATTCCTCTGAGATAATTATCTGGATGTCACCATGACAGACTAATTTCCACTGTAAGAAAGAAATGTTGAAAGAAGCAGCACAGTCAGGGAGGGTTGTTTGGGGACAGAGATCACACTATCTTCTTACCCAGAGGACAATCTGACAGTCCTACTGCTACTAAAGCTACATTGAAGGGCATTTTAACATAATGGCACCTTGCTATATACAGTAAAGGACACTGCCCAAGGAGAATACAAATGTGGTGCTATTATATTATGATGTTAGAGGTTCTTGCCGAAAAGCTATGTTGAGAAATATTCTGAAAGAACCAGCAAGGATGAAATGTAGGAAATTATTTTCTTTGTCTTTATACTTTTCACTTAATGCTGCGTTGGCTTAAAGCTTTAATGGGCCCGTGCTAACCAGCTAGCTAGTGAGGCTATCAAGGGTTATTTTTTTAAGTTTGTGCCAATGGACCGTTAGCTAAGCCCCGCCCCCCTTAGTTACTGTTTCTACCGCTGTCAACGTCTCTGTTGGTCTGGCATGATATGCAGCTTGTATGATAACAGCAACTGATTTACTTAGTGTTAATTTTGGAAACAGTGAATCCTTGATTTCACACAGGTTCGTGTCCGTTTCGCAGTTAAAGGTTTTTAACTAAGGGTAAAGTTACTGAGTTAAAGGTTTTTTGCACCTTCTAGTAATGTAGTTGCTTTATCCAGTTGGCTTGTTTAAAAACCGTAGTCCTGTACAAGGTGCCTTAAATATGCACTTGATGCTACATACAGTATATGATAGGCTACTGTGCTAAAAGACTGAGGCTCAACCCAATCTTCCTGTGTCCTTCACATAATTCCTGTTGGATTCTGCTTGCTTTCTCTGACTGTCATCTACGTTTTGATGGCTGTCTCTCTTCCTCACTATGAAGAATGGCTTCCACAGAGTGAGTCAGTACATCACAGTGCACACAAAGCTGCAGTTTGGCTCTGCCAGTGCTTCTGTTTTATCAGTATCTCCTTGAGCAGGAGTGTTTTCATATCAGTGTTGCGTTACGTTGTCCTCTGCTCATCATCAATCACCTGGCACTCACAGACAGATACAGGAAGAGAGGGAAGTCTCTGTCAGGGAGTAATCCCTCAGAAACATGCTTCCATTCAGACTTTATTGTTCCAGCATACATGTCTTATTCTTTAAAGCATCTTAACTGTGACATCAATTCAATTCAATGCCATTTACCTTAAAGGGCTGATTATCTGCTCCATGGTTCTGTCTGCATAAGCAATAGATATGAGTATCTTGCTGTGACATCTGCTGCACTGCTCTGAATATTCCTCCTGAGGCAAGCGTGATGCCAGTGATGTGTGTGTGTGTGTGTGAGTGTGTTCTTTTATGTATTCTGACTATAAAAAGAACAACATGGATAATCTCCTGGCATGGTCACTATTTGTGTTCAAACAACTCAATATTTGATTGTGTTGTTTTGTGACAGCCCTCATCTCCCTGCAGTTATGCACACGCCGATGATTAACTTGTCATGTGGAAGCTGTGACCCAGCTGGGATTTTCATGCAATGTACACATAGACACACACACAGAGATACACACATACTGTACACATGCACACATGCACACAAGCTAACCACCATTTGTTATGCCGCCAAGAACTATTTTTGCCTTCTACAAGCCAGATTAAGGTATTAATCTGCCTTTAATTGTGATTGTATGAATATATTGAGGTAGGCTTTTTTTGTTTTTATTTTGTCCCCAGTAGTGCATTGTCAAGACTTGTAGATGCATGGTATATTTTGCACTCAGCAGAATTACCATTATTGAGAGGTAAACACACAAATGAAGAAGTGTCATGTTAATTCTAAGTGTATTTTTCCTTCCATCACAGGTTTCAACTGATTGAAGACTTGTCCTATGAAGATGTGAAGAAATGTTACAGGGGCTCGGTGAGTCTGGTCTCCTACAGCCAGTTATTCACTTATACCTAAATGTTTCTATCTATAATAATCTATAATAAACAGGGCACTTACCTGTTAAAACTCCAATTTCCCTCTGAGGAGATTATTTTGTGATTTCTCTCTCAATTCTTCAGTTATTTAAATACATTTCAAACTGATATGTGGCTTTAAAATTGGATGCAAAAGCTCACAAAAGGCTGCAACCAATATGCCAAAATGTGATTGCAATCTGGTGAATGTTTTATTTACTTAATTATCTTTTAGAAATCATATATGATGGCATGCTAACAAGCCAAAAAAAACTAACATGCTGCCATAATAAATATGTGAAAAATGACTAATGTGAGATTTTTCAAGCTCATTTATAATTTATAAAGCTGAATGGAGAACAAATTATATTATTGGCAATAGCTCAGCAGGGTTTTTATACTCATTCACTACTATCTTGTTATTATCTGATCCTGATTAAGAGATCCTGCATGATTTACTTTGTTTTCTGTGGGTTACCCTCCTTATTTTCTCATCTATCATCACCTGTCACTTTAGACTAAAGTACAAAACAATTTCACATCATGAGTAGTTAAGTAATGGGGGTTAAGTTGCCAAAATTTTCACTTTCTGCAGCAACACATTAATAGTCACCATCATCTCCGGGCTTGCCCACAATGGTGATTGAGCCCTTTACCGTATCTTACTGTAAGCACCATATCACTGAGGACAGAAGCTGCTCTAGCATGAGCTATTAATAGAAAGACAAAAACAGGAGCTGCAGACAACAGCAAACTGAGCAGACACACGTCGAAGGAAAGATAGATGAGATGCAGGACAGGACGGAGAAATAGGGAAAAATATTGTGGTGGCAGAGATATCAAGGACTGGAGGTGAGTTTGAGAGGCGAGGGAGGAGAGCAGGGAATGAATGAGACCTCTTGTTGTGTTCAGGGAGGAGAGTGTATGAATTTCCTTGAAAAGCGAGCACTTCTAGGTGTCACAGACTGACATTACAGACAGGAGGAGAACCTGACAGATAGAGGGAAGGAAAGGCAAAAGGCAGAGGAAGAAAAGGATTTCAACTGAGTAGTGCAGAGTGCCTCTGTGTGCCAGAGTGTGTTTTTTTTCAGCTCAGAATGATGAAGGGCAGAGTGTGTGTATGTGTGTAGCGGAGGGAGAAGGAGAGGGAGGGTGTCAGCTGGGTGCTGCAAAGTGTAGAGTCACTGGAGGTGTATTTGAGACAGAGAAAGAGAGCCTTGTAGTTTCTGAGAAAGAGCTCAGTGGCTGTAAACTGAGGCGCTGCTGCTGTAACTCTTTAGTAGTCTGTGTGTGTGTGTGTGTGTGTGTAGATGTAGGTGTAGGTGTACACATTAGAGCCAGGTGTGTGTTTGTACGTGCATGTAGACTAGAGGTAGTTGCACAGAGGCAGTCGTCCACCTCTGCCCCGTACTGACTGACGACAGGGGAACAGTGTGTGTCTTGCAGCGGTTTGCTCCAGGCCTTGGATGTGCGCGAGTGTGTGTGTGTGTACGGTGCCAACGTGCTGAGCCTGGTGCAGAGCTCGCGTCCTTTGAGGGAGAGGGTGGTGTCTGCGGCGAGCGGAGCAGGAGTGGCCGGTGGTGGCGGAGTGGCTGGTGGTGCCGGCGGTGCTAGTGCTGTGCAGGCAGGCCGGTCCGCCAAGGAGCTGCTCATGACTCTGCCCTGTCCCTCTGCACAGACTGTCAGCAAGTACAACTCCCAGTACCACAAACTGTTCCAGTGCGTGCCCAAGGATGAGATACTCATGAAAGGTACTGTCTTTTTTACCCAACTTTAAGACTGTGTTTTGTACTGCAACATCTGTTTTATTATTCATGTTTCAGCTTCACTCATACCATTTCATTTTCCTGTTATGCATTTGTATTGATTGCAAGCTGTTAACATGAGACTGATATTGTCCTTTTATTGACTATTACATATTGGCTATGTGATCTGGACCTGAAATGATTACTCAGTTGGAAATTTTGATAACTGATTAATCTTCAAGTCATTTATCAAACAAAATCAATCAAAAATTTTAAAGTTCCCATGTTCCAGCTTTACATTTGTGAGGATTTACTGTTTGTCTGTTTTATATAGTTAAAAATTCAATGTATTGCTTGGGTTTGGAATAAAGCAAGCTATTTTAACACCTCCCATTTGACTCTTGAAAAATATGGGCATTAGAAAAATTTTCTGACCATGTAAAGGTAAATAAGTCATAGAACAAGTCTTCAAATCTACACTGATATTTCATTGTCTATGCACATTTTATCAATTCATATAATTGTTGTATCTTCAGTGTCCTGCCATGATTTCACTTATATCTCTCCACCTTGGTAACAGTAAAGATTCTGGTGGAAAAGCAAAATCGTAGTTGAAAATGTCCAACAATTCTTAATATCTGTAGAAGGTGTCAGCAGCCTCAACATATAGGTATCTTTAACAATATTCATGCTCCAAAAGCCACATTGAACAAACCTTTTTAACTGTTGTACAGTGCAGTCTTTTGTAATTTTTGCTTTTCTTGTACTTTTTGTTGGTTTGAAGTGGTGCTCTTGACTTGTATCCAGCCTTGATTCTTATCCCTTTGGGTCTGTGAATCTGATTAAACTCAGATTAACACTTGAACTGTCAGATTTCAGCACAACCAGCTTCTTCTGCACAGTATCAAGTCCGCTGTTCGCACAGTCCAACATGGTTTACCAGAACCTTTGATGCTCTGTGAAACCTATGAAAATAAACCCTATGATGTGAAACTTTAGAGGTGAATGATTATAAAATTGATTAATAGTGAAGCAGTTTGAGGGATCTGACATTGTCTCATTAAACCTGTATGTTTTTCTTTGTCCAGTTTACAGTTGTAGTAAGAATAATGTTCTCTCTCTCTCTCTCTCTCTCTCTCTCTCTCTCTCTGTCTCTCCTGTCCTCAGTGTACTCCTGTGCTCTTCTCAGAGATATCCTTCTACAAGGCCGACTGTACATCTCCAGAAACTGGCTGTGTTTCTGTGCCAACCTCTTTGGCAAAGACATCAAGGTATGAATGACTGACAAGCAGCTTAATAAACTCAAAATGACTGACAACCTTGAACCAAGTGACTGCGGGTGACAATCTGACAAGCTGGTTGGACAACCTGACAACTTATTGAACTGAAAGTCAGTCAGGATTACAGACTGGCTTCCAGTGTCACAGTCTTAATTCTACCACATAGAAAATACCTCTCTACATGTTTGGGATTTAAGCTTATGTACCAAGAGTAGGTAGACTTCTTGAACCTTCAACCTCAAAGTTATGTGATTTTCTCTTTGATATGCTGTGAATTGTTCTTTTTCCTTCATTTCCTTAAAACTAAACCTCTGCTGTCATCTTAGTGACAATAAGCTTCTTATTCAGACTGCATTCCTTACATTCTGACTGAAATAAGACACGTTTCATGTCCTCTACTGATTTTCTTTGGGGGTGTTTCCTGAGTGTACTTCAATGTCTGTCTTTGCTGTCACCATTTACTCAAATCGCACTGGTGTTTTTCCTTTACCTACCATTTTCTCATCGTCTTGCTTTTAAGTTTGATTCCTCAGATCTGAGTGTCTCTGTTATTTTTGTGCCTTTTTTCCATCCTCTCTAGGTGGCTATCCCTGTCGCTTCTGTGAGGCTGGTGAAGAAGCACAAAACAGCGGGCCTCGTGCCCAATGGCTTGGCTATCACCACAGACACCGGCCAGAAGGTAAACACTCCCATCGCAGTCACTGTGAATTAAAATACTTATGCTGATTAGCGCAGCATGGGTGGTGTGTTTTCCAGGCGAGGTGTGATGGAAAAAACAACACCATGCTATAGATAGAAGCAGAGTAGAGTCCCAGCCTGGCAGCACAAGAGAATGAAGGGTTTTTCCACCATTACAGCAACGTTCAGAGAGGCCTCTTAACTTTCTATCACGTCAAATTCAACCTGTCATCAGGTGGTGGTGTTTTCAAAGACATAATGTGTCTTTTCAAACTCTGTTCTGGCCTCAACAACCCATAAATAATGCTAGTCGATAAGCAATATTAGCATGTTTTAAAATCTAATTTATCATCACACCACTTAACACAAAATGAACACTGTGATTCATCCAAAACCTCCCACCCCCGACACCCAGTTGGGCTCTGGAGAAGTTCAAAAACACAAGTATATTAGCATTTTTGCAATTTACAGCTCAAATCTGTCTATTCTTTTCATATGGATGATGGTACAGGTATTGGCAGGTGAAAAGAAGCAGAAAAATTAAGATCTTTCTTTGCAGTTCTGTTTTCAGATAGGAACATATAAACAGAGCCAAATTAAAAGTCAAATAGTGCTCTTTCAAGCACATGATGCGATTTGGATTCCTTAAGTTTACCGTCTGTATCAGACAGGGTTTTGTAGGAACTTGATTTTGATGCTTGTTGTTTTTTCTCACACCATTGGCAGACCTTTTTGCATAATTCACAGCAATAGATCACAGAATATTTTGCATGTGTCTAGGATGCATGCAAAATGTCCTCATATACGGTGTCTTTCTTCACCTTCAGATGGTCATATGCTTCCCCCCTCTTTCTCTATTTAAGGTTACACGTTAACTCAGTCTGTCAAACCACCAATCAGCAATGTAAAACAGTCGTCCACATATGAGGTTGGACTATTACTGCTATAAAATGAGCAAATAAGTGAAATATTACACAAATATTTGACCCCATCAGCCCAAACTGCAGATAGTCAACCCCTGGCCAACGCAGCAGGTCAGAGCAGCAGCTTCCCAACAAAGAATCACCTTTGTCAAAGCATGTGAGACATGAAGTATGTGTTTCATACCTTACAAGGACAAATATCTCTATCCTTATACAGTGGGGTCCAAAAGTCTGAGACTACTTTCCCATTTTGGACCCCACAGTATGTCTGCATGATTATGTAATATGCATTACATAACTACACACAAATACATGCCCCTATACAGTATGACTATACTGCATATGTTTGAAAAATGACCAGGGTTGGGTCTTCTGTTTATGAGGTAAAAAGTTCACAATTTGTGTCTGCAACAACAAAGTTCAGGCTCATTTGTAATTTTTCATCTCATTTACCCGCATGACTGTCATGAGAGATGCAACAGGACCATTTATGAACTGACGTGGACAAAACCATCTGATAAAAGTCAACACACAGTAACACAGTGTTTCAAATGCTCCTAAATACTTTTTTAGATAACAATGAAATTTATCCAGGTCAGAGGGATATTTGGGTAAGCTGTCACTGACCTGCCATTCATCATTTTTCATGAGAAAATAAACTGGAACAGAAATGTGATTAGAGAAATATCCTCTTTGTGCCCCAGATTAAAGCTTTTGAATCCCTGAAGTGTTATTCACCCAAATTATTTCTAGCAAATTTTAACCCTTGCCCAGTCATGTTAATGTTCTACATGCAGATAGACATTAACACAACTCTCTTTATTCTTCAATATACTGATTTTTTGAAATCTTTTTTATTCTGTGTATGCTGTTCTCAGGTGTTTCTGTGCACAATACAATGAAAATTATAAAGAAAACATCAACACGAGTTTTACGTCACTGTTTTTCTTTTTTTCTTTCTACAGTATGTATTCGTATCTTTGCTATCACGAGACAGCGTCTATGATGTCCTTCGCAGGATCTGCACACACCTACAGGTCAGAGGACGCGCACACTCATGCATACTCTTCATTCAGACTATATACTGTGTGTTGTACATGTCAAGTAAAGGGGTGATTTCCTTTCCCTCTCCAGGTCAATGGGAAGAGTCTGAGCTTGAAGCAGTTTATGGAGGAGCCGACCTTATCGCTGGTCAGTGACAACTTGTCTTTCACAGAGAGAAGCTCTTTCATAAACCATCATTAAACCATAAAATAGTAAAGATCAAAGTGGAACATTTCGTAATCCAGTCTGAACTGTCTGTAACGTTTCATTGTCGTGTTTCATGTTGGCTTAAAGGCCTCTGACAACTCTCACAACTACCCCTGACCTGAAGGCTGACTTACCTCCTTACACAGACAGGATCAATAGATCATTGTATTACAGCTGCAGCCTTGCAGTGAATTATCCCCCGAGTCGGCAAGATGCTATCAAAGAGCTCTGTGAAGTCACCTTCTGTGTGTGTACCATAGGCCGCTCTGCGACAGAACAGCTTTTGTATTGAGGAATAATTAATTTCCGTTAACATGCTCATCCTTGATCACGCTCTAATCTATGCTGACAGTGTTCAAAGAAAAAAGGATGTTTGTTCACGTTGCCAGCATATTGTGATGGTTTTACAAATCCTGAATAATCCTGAACTTAGAAAATGTTAAAATGTCTGAATTATATTCATAATTCCAAATCATATTAAGAAATAAATGTAGATTTTGTATATTCCAAATATCCAGAATATTGCTGAATATCTCTTTACAGTACAGCTTTCATACAGGCTCCCATTGAGCGTAATAGAGATCTAGGCATTCAGAGCTTGAAAATGAATGGTACCACTTTCTAATAAATCATCAAGTTACAACTTTAACAGCTTTATTAGTAATTAAAACATCATTTTCTAATGCTGTATAGACCAGTTGTAAACAATTAATAAGACCAACTTTTTTGTGAAAAATCCCCATGACTGTTAGACCACTTGTCTGGACCAAAATCCATTATCTACTTATTTACATTTACAAGTGCAGACTTATGGCTTATTAGAAGGTGAGAAATCTATGTGTGTATATTAATGGATTACCAACATTTACAATGATTCTATTTACCTATTACCTATACTTCCTTTAGTCTGGATCCCTATCTTTCCAATACATCCTCCTCTTCCCTCTGTGCCACAGGACGAGTTCCCGACTCCAGACGAATTCCCAGTGGTCGACGAATTCCCATCAGTGTTAAAGTGGAGAAGGAAACCCTCAGTGGTGTCTGTGTCCTCCTCCCTTCCTGACCTCCTGGGGAACTCCACCAGCAGCTTGAGCGCCACAGACACACCCTTCAAATCAGAGCAGCTGCTGGAAGGTGATAAAACGATCCATACAGTGAAAATGCATTGTCAGAGTATGGATACAAAGTCCAAGGCTTTATCCAAGGCCACACACTTTTTGGTTCTTGTTAGAACTGATTGGCTGAAGGTTGCACATAATTTGCTGAAAGTTGTTGGCATGGTTTATGTTTACGTCTATTATAAGAAATATCCACATCACTGGTTACTACTCTCGATGAATAGTCAGGTAAATCAAGCTGCACCTCAAAAGTAGTTCAAATTCAAAGGCAGTTTTGAATGTGCCTTTTGCTCCTGGTTAACACAGTACTAGAGTTATAGCATGGCTGATACTTTGAGTTATTATGTCTTTATTTAAACTTGAAAATCAGTGAGGGTAAAGCCCTCATTTACAATGATGTCAAGCAGATAAAAATACCAGTTAAAAAAAGAACATTAATTAGAATAAACAGGTGAATACAATTAATAAATAATGTAATGACAAGAATCAATAAAATAGGTGCAACTGGAAATTTAAATGTTAACAGATTACATTTTTAAAGTGCTTTGTAATGAGTTCCAGGTATCCATCTTTTTTGTACCGGATGCAATGATGAGTGTTGTTAGCATCACCAGTAATGAACCTGAGAGCTGTATGGTGGACAGCTTCAAGAGATTTTAGAGTTGCAGCCGAAGCATGTCTGTACAAGATGTCACCATTATCTGAAACTGATATATAAAAAAAAAAAAAGTTGCCTCAGCAAGAGCACTGAAAGGCTTTATTCAATAACTAGTTTGAAGCGGATTGTGCTCTCTTCGTCTGATCAGAAAGGCCCTGTAGTCCCTGTAAACCAAAATGTGAGTAAGTAAGTTCATTTTGAGCGCACGATCACATAGCGTCTCTATACAATTAAAGAAAGATGTAGAAATTAAAAGTACAACTTAAAAAGAAGAAAGAAGACAATTACCAAAATAATATTAACATAAAACAGATAAAACGATGTAGTATAAGTATAAGTGGGGGAGTAAAAGATTTAAGGCATTCTGCCTGTTAAGGAAGTGGTAATCCATGAAAAGTAATAAGTAGCAATAGGTGAATAATAAGTGAGGACAAAATCAGTGTTGCATCGTCAAAATGTCACTTACATTATAGGATAATGGTGTGAATATTTGTTTTCATCAAATCACATTTATTGTGTGACACATAGATGTAGTGTTGAGTTGAGTGGATGCATATGTTTGTGTGTGTATCTTTCATTTCATTTGAATATTGCGTGTCTGTGTGTGTCAGAGAGCCAGAGAGAGCAAAAGACAGAGTAATTGCTTTTGGATGGCAACGTCTCTCTTACGCAATGACACACATTAAGCTCCAAATGGAGATTAAATCATGTGGGGGCTTGTATTAAAAAGCTTGGGGCGGATGCAGATTAAGTGGAGATTATCACAAACAATGTCTGCTGTCAAAGTTGTCCGAGGACAGTTTATCAGCTGTATGCTGACAGACCTTAAAACATTTCTAAATGCTCGCCTACATTAATGTAGTTGGATATTTAATCATTGTGAGCTTTTGTGTACATTATCATCACAGCTCACAAGTGGAGTGGACGGCTGGGAAGTGATGTAATTACCTGTGTTATACATATATAGAACCCATGCCAAAAGAAGCAAGGTATGTCAGCTAGGATGCAATAGTAATGGAGATGTAGGGATATAATAATGAGCTCAGGGTATACCGTTCACTGTTTATTTATAATGAAGAATGAATGAACAAACAGTAAAAACATTATATTCTTAAAACAATTTATACTATTACCCCATGACAACCACAAAGTTTCATTTTCATCATGGCAACCTTTGCAGGCAGCAGCTGGGATCTGTCAGCTCAGTGTTAATATGATTTAATTGCAATATCCAGCATTACATATGTATAAACAACAACATGTACGCTTTGAGAGGCATAATTGATCAGACTGCCTAAATACCGTGATTCATTTGTGAGCTCCAGAGTGCATATTGTCAGACCATTAGCTGTGAGAGAGCGCTGTCCAAATGTGTTCGGATGTACACTAACAGGTGGGCCAGCACTATTAAAAGTGAAACATGTAGTGCAGTCAAGCCAAGCACTGTTAATGGTTTATGGTGTGTGTGTGTGTGTGTGTGTGTGTGTGTGTGTGTGTGTGTGTGTGTGTGTGTGTGCGTGCATGTTACAGAGCGAGCTCTGCAGACAGACAGAGGTCTTTTATCAGAGCCAGTGGCAGAGCTGGGCCAGATGGAGTACCAGCTGCTCAAGTTCTTCACCCTCCTGTGAGTATAGAGAGGGACAGACAACAACAACACCAACACCTTCACCTCCTCCAACAGCTGACTCACAGCTACACACACACACACTGCGCATTAACATGGAGGTATAAAAAGTCAGACTGAACACAGCGGAGCAGAGCTATTAAAACACTTTTTAGTTTGCATTTTTACATAGAGAAGTTGCCTGTCATGAGACTTAATTTATTTATTACGATTCATCGCAATGCATCAAATAATTTGTCTCAGTGAGCATCATGCTGCCATTACTCCACCTGCACTCTAGCATAGCAGGACGCTGCCGTGGCCTGACCTATTCCTGAATAAAGACAAATGTCTGTCTGGTATATCACAGATTATAATCCATATAAAGTACAATGAAAACTCTATATATTAATGTTTTAAAAGATGAATAAATGTCATATTATATTACTGGGAGAGTGCAGGTTTATTTTTTTATTTTATTTTTTGTAGACTTGTTTTTCTCTTATTTCTTTAGTTTAGATTTCTTATTGGTTTTTTGCAAAAACACTGCTGTGGTCCTTTAAGACATACATTTAAAGAGGGTTGATCAAGGACAGTGTGGAGCCATAATATGTTGACAGCAAGTCAAACACTGCCTCCCAGTGTTCATCAAAGGCACTGCAGCTCTCTTCCGCCACAACAGAGGATTCAAATGTCATAATGATCCTCAAACTTTTAACTGAATTTATCTGTGTCTCCTCTTTCATCAGTATTATTCTCCTCATCCTGTCATCGTGCTACTTGGCCTTTCGTGTGTGCAGTCTGGAGCAACAGCTGTCCTTCCTCAGTAACCCAAATCTGCCCCTGAGAGAGAGGTAACACTACATCAGCAACATCATCAGTACATCTGAGTTTGTTTTTGTGTTTTTGTTTGTTTTTTTATTGAAAAAAAAAAAAGACAATACATTAATATGCACAAAATAAGGCCATTTAATGTGCATGAAAGATGAGATTTAGACATTGGAGACAAAATAAACCAAAGGTTTGAGACAATTATATTTTAATTTGTAATAAGATGAGTTATGCTTATTGTATTGTATTATTATATGTTATATTGTATTTGATAACACTGCTATTTAAGGGACATTACTGTTACCTTGATATTGTTGCATCAATAAAATAACTATCAGATATGATTTATAAAGGGCTTCTAGCTGAAGCTAATTTGCAGCTCCTGTCCATGCTTAGGAGTAAAACAAGGAGGTTTGAGTTTAGTTAGTTTGAAATTCTGCTGGTTTCCACATGTACAGTATCAGCATATGTGTGAGTGTGTAATGGGATCAGTGTAAGCCTGAAAAAATAAAAACAGATGTTTATGCTGTTGATTTACCCTCCATTTATTCATTAGAGTCCACTAACCTGGCTGCTCTCTTCTTGTCCAGGTAACCGCTGCTCTCCGCTGTGACCCATCAGATTGGCTGTCTTTGATTCTTCCCCTGCTTGGAGTTGTTGATGCCCTGATCCAGGACCAGCTTAAAGCCCAGAACAGATAAAGCCCACACCAGCTGCAACACGTAAAGGAGCAACATCAACCTGACTCCGGGCATGTTACGGACCTTCCCACAGCGGAATGAGTTCCTATTCAGTGATCACTTCCAGACTATGCAAACAGACTGTCTATTTATTTTTGAATATAAAGTAGGTTTTACTTTAGATAATGATTGTCTACCATGACCGGTCCCTCGCACAGACATTTCATCTTTAACCACATGATGCTGCAGTGTAGAGCAGATTACAGTTGAACCCTCTGTAACACTGATGAAGTTTAGTTTAGCAGTGGTGGAGACTAAAGGTGAGGATGGAAAGGTAAGACATAATTCAACACATTAATTACTTGAAAAGACTGATAGCAAAGATATTTCAGGTGAGTGGTGTTAGCAGTCATAACTCATCAATTAATATGCGACATGCGACATATATTCTGACTGACAAGTGGACTAAACTGAATGTTTTTCTTTCTGGTGAGATCTTGCTGCCACAGCCCTTAGTAGGAAGGCTACAACTAGCTGCGACAAAGCACTTTTTAACATATGTTCACATTATTTCAAATGTATGTAACTGTTTTAGCTGTTTTTTGCTTGTTTATAGGTACTCACTTATCATTTTTTGAAAGTATTTATGGAAGGAAGTCTTGTTATGACTTTACTGTCTAAGGTCAACATACAGGAGTGATAACACCACTCATGGGTGTTAACTGTAATGTGAATGAGATAGTTAGATGACATGCATAATTTTTGTTTTTTGTTGTACGAATCTGCTGTGTGAAAGGAATGTTTTTTTCTTTTATACATTTCAAATGAAGTCAACAAAAACTCAAAAATGACGCATTGAGGTTCGGAGTGTGATGATGATGATGATGGTTTATCTTTGAAGATGTTTTACTAATTTTGCAAAGATGGGTGAAATGTAGTCCTAGACTAGTTTGCAGATCCGTATGAATTAAATTGGAAACAAAATGTAGATAAACATTTGTGGCTTTTAATGTATTTTTTGGTCATTTTGGGTGCCAAGGTTTTACCATCTGAAATTACATCCTGTCATACGGTCACTACACAGAGGACCCCCATGAAGAGGCTTGACTCCCAACAATTTAGCAAATTTAAGGAACTTGCACAATTTAGGCTAAATTGTAAAACTGGAACACAATGTTGGCAGAAGCACAGAGTCCTCAACAACTTGCACATGGAGTGGCAATGGTTTTCTGCCAGATGAAGGGGCAGAGCCAGACATTTATGCCTTTTTCTCATCGATAGACAAGTGCTTTAAGGTGTTTATTTTACCTTCACATGTTTCAACTGCTGTCTTCCTGCAGTCTTCCTCAGAAGAGACACGTGATGTTGCTGTGACGTGTCTTATCAGCTTGTGAGGTTTGACAGGACGACCAAGCCCCCTGCTGTTCAGCCGCTCCTTCAGAACAGCATCCCAGGGACTGTTTTCAGATCTCAATGGCCTCCCTAATCCAACGGTGGTGCTTGTAGCTCTCTGTTTGAATGACCTTGGCCAGACATTGTTAACATTCAGTGCTTAACCCCAATTTAAGTTGATATTCAGCGAACATGCTCCCCCAGGGAGTTTTTTTCCCCCCATTCAAAGCAGCTGCATGCACTGTTTACTGTATCAGGCCATTTGTACATCATTTGGGAAAAACATGATAGTTGCCCAGGAAAAAAATCATCCGACGCCTGTATCATATTTTGAATCTAATTGTTCTCTGTCTCCATCATTCTGAAACCACCACACAACAGATTTTGACAATGACAAATTTTCACTACTGTCACATAAAAAGAGGCAAAAATTGTCTGATGTTACTATTTTGAATTTACATGACATAGGTGGGGAATGAATTTGGCATAAACAGCATCACTAATCTTGACACCTATTTTTGTTACACTATGCTGGATTACAGTTTAAAGATTTAATGTTTAGATGACAAATCTACATTTAAATCCAGATGATAATATGTGAGCAGTCATGGATCCTAAACAAGGCCCAGTAAATGTCTTCATGACTGAACTGAATATTACGCCGAAACAAGAACATTTACTCTAATGATATTAAATTACTTTAAAGAATAGCATCATAGGATAAACAACATGGAAATGTACTGTAATATTAACTGACAGTATTTTATTTGATCTACTCCAGATCACTCTGTTCACATTCCCTCTTCTTCTTCTTTCACTCGATCAGCTCCACTCATCCATCCCTTGAAATGTCCTGCTGACTGCGTCTGCTGCTCTGCTCATATTCATTAAGCAAAGTCCAGTGTAATCCTAGAACACGTGTGAAAAATTACATTACCATCATGGAATTAAATTTTCATTTTCAAGTTTACATGATTATCTTAATAGTGCCCAATAGGCTTCTATAATTACTTTAATATTTATCATTTTAGCCTGTTATTTTTCCAGATGCTTTGAGGATGGAACACTATATTATAATCATGGATTGTGCATTTAAAGGAGAACCCAACCCTTTTTAAGAATTCACATTTGTTATTCCTGTGCCCCAGAACAAACTGGTGAATATTTGTGAAAGTGCAGCACTCTCCTCTAAAGTAAGAAACCAAAGGGAGAACCTTAAAATGTGGAATGTCATCCCCGTTTGCTCTATAACAATGAATGGGGCTCTGATGCTGCAAGGCCATAAAATATTTGTGTAATCTCTTACACATCTCTTACAAGGAATAACAGCATTAGAAAAGTAAACTGTGGAACCATGATGTGGGGAACATGGATGTAGGACTATTATAAAACATATTAGATTGAAATAATACAACCATGGTGGGGAACAAACAAACAAACAAACAGACGGTGGAGCAGGAAGAGGAGGGATAGAAACCAAGCAGAGGGAAGCTCCGCACTGTTATACACTGACCTCTTGCGGTGAGTGGACAGTGTTGGCGCCATTTCGGATTTAAATATGGACGACAACAACATGATGGCGTCAGTGAACCACTTGACTCAGTGTGCAGTCCGCGGTCAGTAAGTAAAAATACTCGGATCTCCTCCTCTTCATCACGCCGGTCTCCAGGAACCCTCGTCCCCTTGCATCTCGTTTGCAGAAGAAATCAACTACCTGGTACCGGAGGTAAGTCCGACAGCGTCAGAGTTTTAAAGTTTACTCTATCAGAGATCTTATTTAATTGGGAAGATGACTTGTTTGCATGGTGAAAGCACAGGTTAAAACAATGAATGCAACTGAAACATTGATTGTTTTGGAAGAGCGTTACTCAGCACAAAGTTGAGTTGAGTTCAGCCAGTTCATTTTTTTTCTGAACGTTCACGGACCCAGGATCTGTGGATGAAGGCAACAGAACCACCTGCCCTCTGATTGGACTCTGCTTTGAGATGGGACTGAATACTACTATTTTAATGAGGTCGTATTTGTCACTAAACAGTGTCAGCTGGAATTAGCAGAGGGTGAAATAGGCTCTCATTTTCATTGGCAGCAGCAAATATCACTTAAACCACAATCAATTAATGTAAGTGTAACAGACTGCTGTGTTTGCGATGCGTTATGCTTTTTGAGGTGTCCCCTGGGAATTACCTTAGGACTGGTGAAGTGTTGTTGTTGTTGTGTGCCTCTGTTTTACATTGGCACTATTAACTGTAATGTGTCCAGTTGAAAACCTGTTTTATGCATTTCTGATCAGCTATTTCCTCATTAAGGTGGGAGAATAGTCAAAACTTTGTTTTGTTACACTGTATTGTTGGTATTTGGACTGGTTTTTATTGCACATCACTATCTGCATTCTGATTTTATTATGGCCCTGACCGGAAGTTGTGATTTGTATCTTTCCGCCGCTTAGACGTTATTTTCCAATGTTTGTTTGCTCGACGCCATGGGCCCTTTTTTTACGTTGTGCGTCACAAAAGCGGTAGTAGTAAAACGCCGTGGGCGTGTACATGCGGTTCCCCTCAGTGCCTGCAGCCAGCCGGTAAAACCCTAAAGGATGGACAAAATTATTTTCAACGAGTCCCGCTGTGGGAGCAAGCTAGCAGCCTCCTCTGGCAGCTAGCTTGCGTGCGTTGATGAAGGAATTCAACGATTCCATTATAAGATGACAAAATGTATTAAAAAAAAAAAAAAAAGACTCAGAACTTTTCTAAATCCAAAGTTTGTCATCGATCTCTAGTGTTCTTTCCTAACGTGTGTGTGTGTGTGTAAAATTCACACACAAATATCAACATTAACATTTGAAACCTTTCTCTGTCTGCATCCAGGACATATGGAGTACACAGAGGTGCCACCCCAGCTGCATTCAGGACCCCACCAGCTGTGCAGCTTTACACAGAGACTGGTAGGATGACAAAGGCCGGGGTCAACTTGCCGGTTTCCACTTTAACCGTTCATCCCAGGTACATGCCTGTGTCTCATAGCAAGTGTATTTTGTATTATCATTGCTTGCCCACTGTGGGCAAGCTAGCCACCTCCTCTGCATTAGCAAGCTGCTAGCTGGCATTGTACATTGATGAATGAGTTCAACAAAGAATAATAAACAAGAAAATGTAAAAAAAAAAATAATAATAATACATGCCTGAATACTTTCTAAATGCATTGTATGTCTAACTGATTGATCTGTCAAACAGACATCTCTTAGTATTCTTAACAGGTGCTTCCCACTGGTAGTTTCTCTAGGATGAGGTGTAATGTAAACAATACACACTTGTATTCATGCATGGAAAAATGTAATTTAATGCACATTTACAGTGACCACTTTTTTCCCTTTTTTTTAATAAATAGTGTATGTTTGCATGACGAGTTTAATTTTCTGAATAAATATCTTCTAAAATATGACACTGAGTCTAACTTCTCAACATGAACAATGTAATTATCCATGTTAATATTTATCTTTATTTTAAGCAATCTCTGACTGGATATTTATAACATTGTATATGGAGACATGCTAGTTGCCCTTCCCTTTATTCCACTCAACAAAATTATATACTGTAAATGAGTGAATAAATAGGTTAGAGAGAATAATGTTTTTAATGGGGGAGTCTCATCTTATTATACAATCCTGTGTCAAATGATAAATACATTAACCTTGTAACCTTTCTTTCACTTATTTAGTATATATTGTGCATTATGACATATTCCTTACTATTACCACCTTAAGTGACGAATTGGCTGTTCCAGTGACTGCACAGGACAAGTGAAAAGTATGAACAGTATAGGCTACATGTAGAAAATACCAATTATGGTGTAAACAGCAAATGGACTGAATGATTATAATAAACTCTGGTAAAGAAATGACACTAGTTATCTCTTTACAGGTTGGATGGATATGAAATGTGGTCTATTTAATGCATCTTCATGAGTATGTAGTGTTAGAATGGCGCACGTGTTGCCGATTATTTGAGGATTTAAAACAGCTCAAAGAAAAACTGCGTGCTCTTACTTTGAAAAGCAGAAATGGTGGCGTCAGCAGGCGATCACTTGATAGGAGTAACACGATACAAGTCGATTTTCGTTCGTTGTCTTCAAACTAAAATGCAAATCCACAAGCGTAGAGAAAGGAAAATTGATTAAAAAATAGTTGCAAGATATTTTTGTGAGTTTACAAATGTATTTGTGGAAGGTGTTTTATATCTACAGATCACACATTTGCTCATTGATTGTCAATCAATTCACATAAATAATATTCAGACAAAATCATCTAACTCCATACCCATCCCTCTTTCACTTCACCTGCACAAGTTTTCACATGTCATTTCCCCCTCTCTCCTTCATTCTTTTCCTCCCTTCCTCCTCTTTCTCCCTTTTGATGTCAGAGAAATCATGTGACCCCCTAAACTGATTTGGAGGGATCTGGAGTTGCAAGCTTTTCAAACAGCAGCAAGTCAGTTGTATGCCATGCAGTAAGTTTGTAACATGCTTTTACTTATAAACTAAGTAACCTGTGTAAGTAAACAACCACTGATTCGAATGAGACAAAAGAAAAACATGTTACTAAAAGTCTGTA